TTCTAGTCCCCGAGCGTGGCTGTGCCGGCCCTTGGCGGTGACAGGGTTTTACTCAGCGACACCTGCTCAGGGCTACGTGCAGGGCTGGCACTGGGGATGCAGAGGGGCCACCAGGCTGGTCCCTGACCTGGGAATGCCAGGCCGGCGGGAGGGCAGGCTGCGCCCTGCGTGCAGGGATGGGCCAAATAAAGGAGCTGCTGGAGCCTGCCCGAGGGGGCCTATCCAGACACAAGTAGGGCAAGCTGATGGAGAGTCGAATAAAAAGGGTGAGGAGGAACGTGTTTCAGTCGGAGCCGGCTCAGTCGAGAAACTCACGGAAAGGTCTTTGTAGTCTATACAGGGAAGTGTGTAGAGAAGAGAGGGCTAAGGAGGAACCTAGAGAGCATCGGTACTGTAGGTGTGAACAAAGGAAAAGGAACCCCCAAAGAGCAGCCAGATGTTGGGTCGGAGGACTGCTGAGGATAAGCAGGAGAGGGAAGCAGTTCAGTAAGGGAGTGGTCACCCGCGTCCAATGTGGAGGTCAGGTGCCCAGTAGGAAAATCAGAATTCAGGAATACGGTGTCAGAGTCTATAGTGGCGTGAGTTTGGGGTCCACCGCTATATGCTCCATACCGAAACAAGGAGCAGAGGTGACTTTATTCCTGAATACCTTCGTGTTTTAAAGAGCACTGTCATAGTATTTGCAAATTTCAGGATTCCGCTCCTGATAACTGAGTTCCTTGAAGGCAGGAAATACTTCTTACCCTTGCATCTACAGTGCCTGCCACACACAAAAGCTTTGATCAATGTTGTTTAAAGAATAAATGAACCCATAAAAGTCTTTGGTGTTCAGTGTTCACACAAGTCTTTTCAGAACCCTTAGCGAAACTGCGATGGAGGTCAAATTTGTCTATTCAAGTGTAGAAGATGGGAGAATCCCAGCAGGGGCAGGGGCAGGGGGCAGAGGACGGTGGAGGTCCAGGGGTTTAATGCGTGGGAGAGGGTCCAATGGATACTGGGATGGAAAACCCAGAAGAGAAAAAGAACAAAGGATTGAAAATTTAGAAGCTGAGTTTTGGGGGCCAGAACTGGAGATGAAGCCAAAGAAATCAAAAATAGAAGCAGGAATAAAGAGCAAAGACAAGAACAAATGATTGTACAGAAGTTCGACAGGGAGATCCAGTTCTAATTGGACATTTGAGAGGAAGTGTGGTGTCAGCCAGTATGAAGGCTCCTTGCAGGGCTGGTAGACATAATATATCCCTGTGTCCTCTAAGTTCAGTGAGCCTAGGGCTTCCTCATATGGGCCAAAGGGAAACCACAACACACTTTGGAGTGACTGAGGGGAAGAGACTTGTCTCACAAGTCCATGACTCCAGTACATTTCCATTATATAAAATATTACAATAAGCTCTACCAAAATGTGTTCTTCTCTGAAAGACTATAAATCATCCATCTGTGAAGTAAAACCACAAAATTCTAAGTTGGTTGAAGAATTTTGAAATATCCAAAATATTAGCCAAGGGGGCATAGGTGTAACACCAGCAAGACAGGGCCAAAAAATGGTTATAATTTGATAAAGCTAAATCAAATATTTTGTGAACAAAAGGGGCAAAATCAACCTTTAAGGTAGAAAAAGGAAGACCCAAATACCAGGTGTACAGGTTAATAATGCAGATGTTTTTCAATAGATGGAGTTACACATATGTTGATATATATGCAATTTGATATGTATGCTATTTTGTTGTATTGACAGCAAGCTTCAAAACTTCATATGTCAAATTTTCTGAAGATGTTGATATCACAGATATTTTTATACTTAAAAATGTCGAATTTCATGCCAAAAAAAAAAAAAGAGCCTTTTCTGGAAGTTTCAATTCATTACTTTATTTTGAAGAAAAGTGCTGCTGTAAGTTATTGTATACTTCGGGAAGCTTATGGTGAACAGGCTCAATCTCAAGATACTTGTGAA